TTAAGGTCGCTACTGTATACATACCATAAACATTGAATGCGGAAGACTTCATTTAAATTCCATAAAACATAACCTTTAACTTAAAAACACAGTCATGGACTTACGTGTTTCGAAAACATCTTTAAAACGACACAACAAAAGACCCGAAATAAAATAAATAAGCGTTTAAGTTTAAAACATCCTATTCTATCCTAAGTCTAAGAAAATGAATACCACTATCCTATGCATGTGCCATGATCTCGAGTTGCGATGCTGTCGTCAGCCGTACAGGAATGCATTGCCTTAACCTGAAAAATGTAGTAGCACATGGCTTGAGTATTCTTGAGTATTTAAAGAAATACTCAGTAAGTGACCCCACTATTGGGGTTAAATGCAACAATCACATGCAATAAAATGATGGGACCTATCTTTTGTTTCGTTTCATTTCGTTTCGTTTCGTTTCGTTTCTTTTCGTTTCTTTTTCGTTTCGTTTCGTTTCATTTTCCCTACGGTGTAATCCTAATAGGTAATCGTGGACGTGTACCATATACTCTACACGCAGCCCATACGTGCGAGTATGAGCTCACCAGCTAGTTCGCACACCGCTGGACCACTGTCCCTAGCCAGTGGGCATGCTCTGGGGGCCCACCGGAACCCGTTAAAACTAAAACCGTCACGGCAACGCTATGCAGGGCATAACGATCGTTGTCCTGCCATTTGGATGTACGCCTCCGTACCCTCGTGATGGGATAGGGGTATCCCCCCAAATGCATGATCACACAATATGCATGAGGTCCCACTAGTCCTACAGTCATCATTTAATGAACATAACCCTGTGTCACGTTTTCATGCTTACATGTCATTCTCATTCTCATTCTGTTACATATCATACATATTCCTAGCGGGGTTATGTATCATGCAATTTACCGTATTTCTTGTCATACAATTCATTCAGTTACATTCCAATACTCATACAACAAGCCATAATCGTACAAGGGTCACATATCGTCACATGCATTCATATCACATCAACTAAGCAACATAAATAACATACATTCACGTTCACATGATTTCGTACTTAAGCACAATAATCTAGCATACAATGTATCATATCATAACCAAGTCATAACGTAAACACTTCATAGTCATATCGTTCTCTAACTTACCATAGCCTTAACGTTCCTATACCTATCACAGACATATCATTACGTGACATACCTTGGTCATATCGTCACAAGAACGTACCCTAATGATATCGTTCTATCAATCTATCACAAACCTATCGCTTTCTACCCATAACCTGACCGTATTCTTTCATCAATCTCTCTTATCCATAGCACTCCGGTATGTAACCTAACTCTAACATTTCATGAACGTATCTTACTCCTATCGTTACATTTCGTTTTGTGCATCCTTCTCGTACCCTATCTCAAACATCTTCTAGAGCACATCGTACCATAATTATTATCATACAATCCACATATAATAACATAACATAACATAACATATAGGAAGAATATCGATCCTCAGACAATTCACACATATCAATATATATGACACGTGCAGAACCACAGGGCACGTGTCAACATCAAATATAACCTTGCCGATAGTAAGGTCACTTACCTGGCTAGCTTAAGTCGTTGTCACGTATATATCCTTACTGAAAGTTCGATTCCGTCCTTTGAAATCCAAGCCAACCTATGTGAGCCCATAACATCAGTTTCAAGTTTGAACTCTATACAATTATTTCTCTAATTTACCTGGTTAAAATTCTGATATTTACTGTTAGACAGAATTTAATGGAGTTTCATGCCCTCTGATATCTCCTGTTATATTTTTAAATTCTGTTTAACAAATTTTCCCTCAATCTTCCATCCTCCCTCATGGTAATTATTTTCATCCCCATTCTATAAATAGATCTCAGTTTTGTAAACATCTGTAAATAAGATATTACTCTAATTCTATATTTATTTTCATTCTGTAAACAGATATTATTGGCCAATTTTAATTTGGCTACTATCTTACACATTTATGGATCTGCCAGCTAAAATTATATTGATTCTAACCTTATTTCCTATAACTTCCGATGCTAAAAAAAATCTAATTAATTGAACATGGGATCTGATTATTACATACGGTAAGATAGGAAAGAAGATTTGATCCTAAATTAATTTCTTATAAGCATAACTATAAAGGAAAAGGAGTTCTGAGATAGAATTTTACCGTAATAACTGACAAAAATCTCTAAATCTGCAATCTGTTCAAATACTTCTTCTCAAATCTGAGAATAATTGTTTTCTGTTTCTTTTTTTTTTTGTCAGGTTTTCTGTTTTTTTGCAGCCTAGATGGACAGAGGAGAGATAATTGTGGGAAGGAATGAGAGGTTAGTGGAGAGAGATGGGGAAAGATTTATTTTTTTTATTTTTTTTTATTTTTTTTATTAATTAATTAATTAATTTTATTTTTTTATTATTATAATGGTAACTATTTTTATAATTATTTTTATTCTTTATTTATTTATTTATGTTTGGGCTATTACAGCTTAAAACGTGTTGGAAGGACTTCAACCACAAAAAATCCTTAAGCATTGAGGATTCATAATTTTGCACGTTTACTTCTACCCAATGGTATTTTTGTTGAAAACTTAGTTGAGCTACGTCTTTTTTGCTCCAATAGATATGAAACTTTACCAATGCTTGGAGAGTTGTCCAAACTTGAGGTTCTTGAAATTAATGAGCTAAGTGCGGTAAAAAGTATCAAAGACCAGTTTTATGGGAATTATCATGGTAGCAAAAATTTATTCCCTAAATTGAAAAGATTTGATATTTTGTACATGCTCAAATTAGATCAATGGGAAAAAAATCTCATATGTATCAAATTGTACCACTTTTCCTCATCTCAAAAGCTTAATCATTAATTCTTGTCCCAAGCTAACAAATATTCCAAACATGTTNTTCGAGAGAGAGAGAGAGAGAGATTTCGGACAAACGTCGGCGAGTGTCCAGTTTATTTTTGAAAATATTTTTTCGAAAATAAGAAAATAAAAAATCTACCAAAAAAAAAATCCAAATATATCGTTTGATTTGATTGTGAAACTTATTCTTACTATTAAAATCAATTATTTTAATGATTTTTCCAAAGATGGAAATGAGATTTGACTTTTATAATTTTTTGTTTGGTAAGTTTGTTCTAAATTTCTATTTTACCCTAATTAAAAAATGATAGAACTTTCTATTTACTTTAAAAGAAAGTGAATCGGAGTGATGATATTAATATTTCGTACGAACAAGGATGAAAACTTGTTCGAGAATCAATTAGCATGCCTCATAAAATTTAACAAAACCAGTTAGAAAGATGTTCGTGATTCAACTAATAAGCCGCTTAGAATTCAACTAACAAAGCGAGTGTCACGACCCAAATTTTGAGCCATCAAAGTCCAGATCAAAATTAAAAGAATAAAAATAAAATAAAAAAATTCGAAAAAATTGAAATCAAAATAAAAACAACACGAAGGTTGATTACAAAATAAAAATAAATTTATTAGAAACAAAAAAAAGTTTAAAGATTTTTTTACCTTTTTTGTGGCTTTTTGTTTTGTTAGGTTATTCATGTTTTACTAATACGAACAGGAGCGTACTTTTTAGCTGACCATTTGTGCCATCTCAATATTTGCGGTCACAATTTGTTTTAGACGAGAAACATAACCACAGTGTTTTTCAGCAAAATCAAATTGGAAGCTGTCGTTCTCTCTGTTGTTTTCTTTGGCTTCGGTTTTTTTTTCTTCCAACAAGTTTTTTTGGCTATTTCTCCTCGTCAAGCAATTTCCTCTCAGAACGATTTGGTCAGTCCAAAGACATCTAAAGTTGAACACCTAAATAAAAATTAAAACAAGGAATAATATATATATTTTTATAATGATTTGTTTTTTAAAATATAAACAAAAACAAATTGGATGGAAAAGAAATTGTCCCATTTTTTTCTAAATTGTTTCAATGGACTCTGTTTTTCCTAATTTTGGTTTGAAACTGCAAAATTGATTTAAAAAGCCTAAAAATATGGCCCCTACTATAAATCTTTGAATGCAGACATAAAAATAAAGTCTTAGAAACGTGGTTTCCTTGCTTTTCAAACATCCATTATTGTGGTTACTGTTTCTTTGGAGGCCACTTTGTTAAACATGTCCTATAAAAGGAGGTTAGATGGGATTTGTGTATGCTTCATTCTAACACACACAAATCCCCCATAATTGCAAACTTTGAGACGATACAAACATGGCGGAGTTCCTGTGGACCTTTGCCATATAGAAAGTGTTGCCGAGCAGATCGGCCTGACATGGGGATTCAAGGAGGAACTCTCAAAGCTGAAGGACTCTTTACTCATGGTGCAAGCCATCCTAAGGGATGTTGATAGAATGAAGGCAGACCTTGAATCCCAGAAGCTATGGGTGAAGAAGCTTGAAGATATCGTCTTTGAAGCTCATATTTTACTCGATGAGCTCGCTTATGAACACGTTTGATGCAAAGTGGAAATCGAGAAAGATAAGGTGGTACGTAATTTCTTTTCATTCTCCAAAAATTCCCTTGCTTTTCGTCTCAAAATGGCAAATAAAATCACAACTGTTTCTAAAACGTTGGATGAGTTTATTTCTACAAAAAGTCCATCCCTATGTGTTGCTACAATATCCAATGAAGCTGAAATTGATATTTACCAAACTCGAGAAACGGACTCATTTTCTGATGAAATTGGAGTTATTGGAAGGGAAACTGAAGTATTAAATATAGTGGATAACCTACTTGCCCTTAAGAATCAAAAAACTCTAGTTGTTTTACCCATTGTTGGTACTGGTGGGTTAGGAAAAACAACTCTGGTGAAGGAGATTTTCCATCATGAAATGATAAGGAAGAATTTCGATACTTTTATATGGGTATGCGTGTCTGAAGGAGATTTTCCATCATGAAATGATAAGGAAGAATTTCGATACTTTTATATGGGTATGCGTGTCTGATCCTTTTAAAATCTCATGAAATGATAAGGAAGAATTTCGATACTTTTATATGGGTATGCGTGTCTGATCCTTTTAAAATCCACAAAATTTTAAGAGCAATCGTGGGATACATGAAGCCTACATTTGGTGGCTCAGATGAAAAGGAAATCATTCTTCGAGAGCTCCAAAATCTGCTAAGTAACAAAAAGTATTTTGTTGTGCTTGATGATGTTTGGAATGAGGAACCCATTCTCTGGAATGAGTTGAGGGCTTGTTTCCTAAAGATCAATAAAAATATGGGAAGTGCTATCGTTGTGACTACTAGAAGTGATAAAGTTGCAGAAATTATGGAGACAAAATACCGACATCATTTGAGGCAGTTACTAGATGATCATTGTTGGTCTTTATTTGAAAAATGTGCATTTGAAAGTAAATTACCAGTAATTTCTGATGTCATTCGAGCACAACTTGTTCAAAAATTTGGTGGCATACCATTGATTAGGAAAGTGTTGGGAGGAATGGTGAAATCATGCAAGAATGATGAGGAATTGCAATCTGACTTTGGAAAATCCAGTGAGAATTGAATTAGCAAAGGAAGATCTTATTTTATTCACAATCAAATTAAGTGTGGACCGCCTACCATCTTCCTCGTTGAAACAATGTTTTGCCTTCTATTCAAATTTTCCACAAGACTCCATGTTCCTCAAAGAAGAACTTGTTCAAATGTGGGTAGCACAAGGATTTATTCAACTACCCAATGGAAGCAATGTAACAATGGAGGATATTGGAGCGAGATATTTTGATATTTTGTTGTCTCGCTCCTTGTTTCAAGATGTTTTCAAGGATGAGAGAGGGAAAGTTGAATATTGTAAGATGCATGATCATATATATGAGGTTGCATGTGCTATTTCAAATGATCAACATTTGAGAGAGGACCTTATAACCGATGGAAAATCTCATGGTGATGAAATTCTTTTGATTCGTCAAAGAAGAACATTTTATTGTTGTGAAAATGTACCCTTTGGTAATCAAGATAAGATCACTGACTTCATCTACTTGCGCATTTTAATTATTGATTATGAGTCCATAACTGAATTGCGTGACACAATCAGTAAATTGAAGCATTTGAGGTGTCTTGACATTTCAAAGTCGGAATAAGTGAGCTCCCAAAATCTATTGCTTTGCTTTACCATTTGCAGACTTTGAAGCTTGGAAGGAGTATAAAACTTCCAACAAAGTTGAGAAAGTTGATCAACCTAAGGCATTTCGAAGTTGATTTGTGTAACGGAGATCAAATTAAGCTAATGCCTAAACATTTAAGTCGAATGACTCAACTTCAAACGCTTTCTATTTTTGTAGTTGGGTCAGATGAAGGATATAAGATTGAGGAGATTGGACGTTTAAAAAACCTTAAAGGTCAATTAAGCCTTCTACAACTCGAGCAAGTCAAAAGTAAAAAGGAGGCCATGACTGCAAATTTGGTAGAGAAGGAAAGCATTTCTGTGCTAAATTTTGAATGGAGTCTTGACAGAGAAGACTGTGGTGATAATGATTTGAATGTGTTGGAAGGGCTTCAACCACACATAAACCTTCAAGGATTGCGTATTCTTAACTTTGCAAGTGAACTTATGCCCAGTGGTATTTTTGTTGAAAACTTAATTAAGCTTGAGCTACACTCTTGCAAAAGAGGTAAAACTTTACCAATGCTGGGACAGTTGTCCAAACTTGAAGTTCTTTACATTCATAACCTAAGAGGTGTAAAAAGTATTGGAGATGAGTTTTACGGGAATTATCGCGACAGTAAAACTTTATTTCCTAAATTGAAAACATTTGAAATTTCGAGAATGGTCAGTTTAGAGCAATGGAAAGATGTTGCTACTGTGACGAATTGTACAACTTTTCCTCATCTCGAAAACTTAACCATGTGTTCTTGTCTCAAACTAACGAATATTCCAAACATTTTTGCAACTCATAGTCAAAGGTTGGAAGCTGACACGGTTAATGTAAGGTTACTTTCAAGTTTTCAAAGTCCTCCAAACCTTCGATCTCTAACCATTTATGATTGTACAAGTTTGGTAAAGCTGCCAAACTGGTTAGACTGTTGTTGCTCACTTGAAAATTTGTGGATAGGCGAATTTCGTGATGATATTTCCCCTCCAAATTTGCAAAATCTGCCCTACTTGTCTTCATTACACATTGGAAACTTTCATAATTTTCCAGAGGGGCTCGATGGTATTCATAACTTGAAAAGATTAATAGTTGAAGGGCCAATGGAGGGTCGTGATTGGAGTCGATTCATACCCTTCAATTCACTTGAAGTTCTTGAGTTGCATGAAACAGGAACTAATAGTTTAACACAACTTCCTCGACAACTTGAGCTCCTCACCTCGTTAAGATCGTTGCATATTCAGAGTTTTAATGGCATTGAATTTTTGCCAGAATGGTTGGGAAACATTACATCTTTGGAGACATTGGAGTTGTCGGAGTGCAGAAATTTGAAAAACTTGCCCTCGAAAGAAGCTATGTCAAATCTAACTAGATTGAATCGTTTGGATGTGTATAAATGTTCCCAGCTTGAAGTTGGTGAAGGTAGTGTTGAACGGGAAAAAGTTTCGCATGTACCCAACGTTCGTGTATTCTAGAATAACTATTTTATATTTGTTTCCTTTCTTTATACTTCCTTTTTCTAATGTTTTCATTAGCCTAAGTAAAATTATAAAGGTATTCTTTGTACCTTAACAATTGTATTAATTCTATTACTACATTAATTACTATGCTTTCTTGGTTGATTACGTTGAAAACCAAATCAAAACTAAACTGAAAAATAAAAATAAAACTAAATCAAGCTAAGCTTGTTTAAATCTTTAAATTGTTAAGAAGTGACGGGATAATATGTTACGAACATGAAGAACGAAGATTCAAACTTGCAATCTATGAATGGAGATCTTGCCGCTCTAGTTATGTTAACAAATTTTTATTAATTTATCGATTGGTTTATTGATTTTTTTTTAAAAGTATTCAGCAATTTAGAATATATTATGAAGATTTAAATATGTAGGTTTTAAAAAATTAGTAATGTTGTAATTAGTTACGTCTAGCTTTGAGTACATGGATAACTTTTTTAAAAAAAATTGAATTGCAATCAATTTCAACCTCTTATTTTTCAACCATCTTGCACTATTTTTTTTTTCCAATCAATGTATATGGTAATTGAAATTGAACTGAGGAAAGGAGTAAATGTGTAAATATACCCAATAAGAAATACTTTTGCTTCTCATAGCCCAGGATAGTCCTCCTTATTGGGGGCACGAACCAACCCTTTTCCATGTAGTTAATAGGTTGTACGGCGTGGGGACACTTTTTCCATGGAAAATGGCTAAGGAGTAGTGAGAACTGATCAGGAACCCCTGGTCCACCCACGAAGCTATAGATACCGTTCACACAACTAGCAGCCTAAGAACACTCCTAAGGTACTTCATTTGCCGTGGTGATCTGTTAGGCCCGAAACGTTATATCTAGACTCAGTGTCACTTCTAACCACAAATCGCTAGGCTTAACTTATTAATGGGTCTTCAAAAATAACTGAGTTTGCATACAACCATCAACTAGCATCATCACACATATTTCCTACAAATTAAATATATATGCTTAATGGGGCGATAACATCCATCAAGCACCCGAAGTGCGGAGTTCACAAATTCACATCTTCCTTTCAACATGAATTAAACATATGCATATATATATATATATATATATATATCGCGGAAGCTTAAAGCATAATTGCAACACTCAGATAATTCTCAATATGCTTTACACAATACATTCATACTCATAATAATTAGACTACCTAAATTCATTCCTGGAAAGCTACCACCTAAGGTAAATTCCCTAGCATGCATTTATACCAAGCGATTCCTATAAGTATTGCTTCCTAAAACCATGCGGTGACTTACATGATTGACGCATGCTCTTTCGTTTAAAGTTCCCGTGTAAATAAGGTGTCTAAAAATACTAATTTTTCTCTATAAGATCTTAAATCACATAAAAAATTTAATTAGAATTTAAATAGGGCAAACAAAAGTCGAACCTATGAATAATAGTACCTCACGGGCTCCCACATGGCACCCTGCTTAATGCCACCAAAATGTTCAATTTGCATGTACTCTAGATGTCATATGTATGGAAATTCTAATTACTTTTTATTTTCATTTGGTTGGAATTTTTTTACTAAACATGAGCAAAATTCTAACTAGTTTAAGTTTTCACGAATAAAAATTAAATTTAGTATTTTTACAATCAATCTATTTATAATCCGACCTTCAATTTTAGTCGGCTTGTAATATGAATAGGTTTTTCAGATTATCGACATGAAGGAGTTGAATCAATAACTTCAGTTAAGAGCGACATAAAATTTTGCAATGAACATTTTAAATCCATATTCTAAGTCTCTCAACCAGATGCCTTGGACAAAAAAAAATTGTCCCAACTTTTCTAAATTGGTTCAAATGGGCTCTATTTTTCCTAATTTTGTTTCTAAAAAGAAAAATTGATCTAAACAACACCTTTCAATGGTTAAAAGTAAACTAGGTTGGAGGGCACATTTGATCATGTCTAGGAGTGATTAAGTATCAATATCTAAACAACACCAATATCTTATTAATTGTTGCATTAAGTATCAATCAAAATGTTGGAAGTACTGGGAGTGATAAAGTAGCAGAAATTATGGAGACAAATTATAGATATCATTTGAGGTACTTACCAATAATTCCATATTCTAAGTACCTCAATTCATTTATTTGAAAAATGAATTACCAATAATTACCAATGGTTAGTATTTATTTGAAAAATGTGCATTTGGAAGTGAATTACCAATAATTCCTGATGTAATTCGAGAAGAACGTGTTAAAAAATTTGGTGGCATACCCTTGGCTGTAAAAATGTCAGGAGGAATGGTATAATTATGCAAGAATTACGAGGGTTGCTCTCTCTCCTATAAGAAAGAACTTATCTAGGCGTGGGTAGCATTGTAATGACCAAAATTTTCTATTTAATTTATATCATAAACCTTTAAAGGTGGAAATACTTCATTTAAACTTTCATAAAATATAATCATGGACTTAACCTGGTTTGAAAACACTTTTGAAAACGACATAAGAAAAGATTAAATAAAATAAACAAATGTTTAAATTAAAAACATCCTATTCTAGCCTAAGTCTAAGAAAATAATACAACTACTCTATGCATGTGTCATAGTCTCGAGTTGTGATACCGTCGTCAACCGTATAGGAATGTCTTGCCTTAACCTGAAATAGAGGTAGCGCATGGTTTAAGTATTTTAAGAACTACTCAGTGAGTGACCCACTATCGGGGGATAAATGCAAGAACATGCAAATGCAATGACGGAACCTATCCTATTAGTCTCTTTTCCTGCGGCACTATCCTAATGAGCAGCTTGGATGTGTACCATATACTCTACACACAGCCCATACGTGCGAGTATGGGCTTACCAAACAGTTCCCACACCGTTGGGCCCCTTTTCTTCTCAGGCGAGCTAGCTCCCTATGCCGAACACCCATTATAAATTTGAAAATTTTAATGAATTTGAAAATTTTGAAATTTGGCTTCCAAAGAAGCCATTTCAAATTTTGAAATTTGGTTTCATAATTTATGAATGTCCCCGATTTGACCTAACTTGAGGAGGCAAAACTTTTTTTTGTGTACCATACGTCGATTTTGAACCCTAGAAATCCTTATTTTTGGTTAGTTTCTTTTCTTATTAACCTTGTATTTGAACAATTATATTAATTTTGTTACTATATTTACTGTGGCTTTAAATTTATCTTTGTAACATTTATCTTTATTGTTCACCTTATTAAATTAACAAAGCCCACAAATTATTTATTTACTTGAAGTTTTAGATGGTCATAAATTCACATCTTAGAAATGGGAAAAATTGAATAATTCAAACCTTATTTACTTGGACAAACCAAAAATGATCACGAGACAATTTCCAGTCGTATAGAGGAAGATATTGAAAGTGGTAGGTGGGCGAGCAAATTTTCGATGTTCGACTCGGTAAGCTCCCTTACAAAGATCTCGTTGGTTATTTATTTTGTTTCATCTTCCAGAAACAATCTCTTATTTGTTTCATCTCAAAATGAACCTTAAAACAAAGTTGCAAGCTTTTGAGTGAAATGAATTGAACAATAATATTAATTTACATGAATATATTTGTGATGTCTCATATTGGTTGAGGAGGAGAACAAACCATCATTTATAAGCGTGTAGAAACGTTCCCCTAACAAACGCATTTTAAAGCCTTGGGGGAAAGCCCGAAAGGGAAAGCTCAAAGAAGACAACCACGGCTAACGGTGAATCTGGGCCGTTACACTATTTTCGTCTTTAAATGTGTAATAAATTTTTAATTTTTTTATTTTTAAAATTAAATAGTGATGAATTTATTTGTTTTGCTTTATAGTTCTCATTATGAAAAAGAAAGAAAAAAAATACCAGGAGAAGAAGAAGCCTAAAAACAGGGGTGCATGGGAATAAGGATGGTCCTCAGTACAGAGAATAACTACCTCCTTAAGAAGAAGAAAACATAGAGATAAGTCATTTCATTCATCCAATCATTCTCGTGAACTTTCCCAACCTGATCCCTTGTTGGATGATAAAAGAACCACATCAGCTAATTTAGGAAATGATCATGGGTTTATACTCTCTCCATTGGTATGAAACCTTTTGGGGAAACCCAAAGCAAAGCCATGAGAGCTTATGCTCAAAGTGGACAATACCATACCATTGTGGAGAGTCGTGTTCGTCTAACATGGTACCAGAGCCATGCTTTAAACTAAGTTGTGCCAATAGATTGGTAAATCCTCAAATATCGAACAAAGACTCCAAAAGAAAAGGAGTCAAACCTCCTCGAAGTCTCATCAAAAGACTCTAGTTCTCCTTCATTAGATAATAACATATAGTGTAATGAATGTGAATATCTTTCTGGTGCTCATATAGTGTAATGAATGTGAATATCTTTTTGTGCTCTAACGGTTCTGGATAGTCTTTGTTGGGTTTTATGTTCTAAAACTCATAGTTTGTAAACAAAAACATATTCTATTTTCAATAAAGTTATTATTGTTGTTTATTTAGTAAAGATTGTTATTGAATAAAGTGAAATTTACGAGCATTAATCTAAATCCAATAAACTAAGAACACTCTGGCTATAGTATGATTACTTGAACTATATGTAGAGACATAAGAGTGGATCAAGTTCAAGTGATCTATAGTATAAGGATAAGGCTGATTACCTTATTCTAGGGACACTATGGATACGACCCACTTTTGTATATGATATAAACAATGTGATCACTAAATTGTACATGTGGAGACATGTAAGTGGGGGCGTCCTATGTAATGATTATTGCATAAGATCGGATCATGAAGAAAACCACCATACTTTATAATGTCGTTTACTGTTGAGACTGATTTTCTTTTCATTCGATGACCTAGGTAACTCAATCTTAATCCTGAGCTAACCATGAACTCCTGTTTATTTGGAATTATCCTTAGATATGCATGGGTGAGAGTGGCTCGAGTTTGCCGACTTAATAGGCC